TGCATTCAACTTCGTGTGACTGCAACACAATCCCTGAAGCAGCTGAGTTCATAGAGTGATGGGATTTATTTCGCTCACAGTTTTGGTGGTTTGCATCCTAGATCAGGCAGCCTTATCTGTTTAGCCCCTGCAGAAGGCTGCACATCATGGTAGAAACATACGTGGGAACAGATATTGCAAACCAAAGAGGCTGGCATCCCACAGTCCCCTTGATGACCATGCTCCCAATGACTTAAGGACCTCCCACTATGCCCCACCATAGGCAGCAGGACTTAACCATAGGTGCCTTTAGGGGACAGTCAACACCCAGGCCAAGGACTTTGCTCCTAGTCGCCGTAGGTCTGTGTATCTCACAAACCAAAGTGGGTTTAGTCCACCACAAAGTCATAACTGTTGCATCATTACTCAAAACCCAAGTCCATTGTCTCATTTGAGACTCACGGCAAACTGAGCTGACCTCTTGGAAAAGGCCAAAATAAGCGGTACACTTCCAAGATACAATGGTGGAGCAGCCACGGGGTCAACAGTCCTATTTCTAACGTGATAAATAGACAGGAAGTGAGATTCAGTTCAAAGCAAAACTGAAATCCAGCAGAGAGAGCACTGATGGAGTTTGGCATCTGGGTCACACTGGGTGGGATGCAGCCCAAGGGCTTGGGCCATCCTGCCCCTGTGACTTTGCTGTTTGAAGCCCACACCATTCCTCTCTGGGGTTGGTTTTGCATGCAGCCTACAGCTTTCAGTGGTGGGCACCCACTGTGCTGGAGCCTAGGAAATTACCTTCCTAGTTTCCAGGGCACTTGGATCACACAGCACCACTATGGACTGCCCCACTGAGGGCTCCGCTAAGGACTGTCTCTTTGGCATATAACCTGCTTCCAAGGTTTCTCTTCTCAACTCCTGCATTCTGGGTGTCTGTAAAACCAGTATCACTCAGGTGACAACAAGAAGATCTGTTGCCATGGAGTGCTTTTCAAGTTTAACAGTCAATAAATGGAGCCTTGGATGGCTCTTTTCACATTTTGCCCAAGGCTGGTCACGTGCTCCATCACTGTACCCATGTGCACACAGCCAACTGCTCTGGCTAATACAAACTTCCTGCAACACTGCTGAGGTGCTGGGTGCCCCAAGTGAAGGTCCCCCTCCAGGCAAAGATCCTGTCTGCTCTGCTCCGGGACAGAGAGATGAAAGTGGGACACACAAAGAAAACTCTAAGCTCAGCGAAGGACAACATAACCATGCCCTTACGTTCCCTTACCCTGTGCAGGGGAAAGAGCGTGGGAATCAGGGGTGAGCCTGACTACCGGGAGCTGGGCTGGCATTGTGAGACCCACTGTGAAATAGGGACAGAGGCTCCTAGATGGAAACTGAGTCAGAAATGGGAGATAGAGCTTACACGTCAAGTCTCCTTCTAGAAGTCTGCTAAAAGACTCTCTGAATACCCAAGAGTAGACTTCTAGCTAACAACAAACACATTGACGCCAGTTCTATCCTCATGACAAGACTGAAAAAAGCTTCCAACTACATGGAGGGGTGTTGCTCCATGGTGGTGGGCATCAGTCAGTCAAGAATAGGCCACAGAATCAGCCTGCATCTCAAACCCCTTCTAGAGCCCCAAGAAACAGCCAACAGCAGCCACCTCACCTCCAATACCCCAGTACAAGCTGAGCAAGGTTTCTGAGGTCCTAGGAAGGTCCCCAGGGTGCAACAGACAACACACAGCCTCTCTCAGCTCAGTGCCAGCCTGAGCCAGAGCCACATCTTGGAGGCCACGTGGTGGCTTCTGTATAGGAATTAGGGAAATGTGCTCTCCCTGAGGCAAACCTCCTCACAGCAAGGACAAAAGCACCATCTGGGAGATATCGTGTGGGCTACAGTGGGAGAGAGTGGGTGAGAGAGGAGGCTGTGAGGCCTGACATAGGGGCCTCAGCAGCTCTGTGCCTTGGGGTCTTTGCCCTCGGGGTCCTCTCTTGAGGATGTATCAATGGCCATACGTAATGTCTCCCTGAAGACTCTGACATGGCTCCTTTTTCAGGCTCCCTCTTGTGCTGGTCACACCCTCTAAGGAATGGCCCTGTCCCTGCCTCCTCTGTCTCTGCATATGTACTCACTCAGCCCCTCCCCAATGAGAGTCCTTGGGATTCCATTCTGAGACCAAGTCCAAAGACTCTCCCCGTGTGAACACCCTTAGCCTGATTGTACCATCAAGCGCCCTTTTCCTCATTAACACTGCAATCTTGGGACCAAGAGTCTGCCAGGGGCCTGACCTTCCAGGAAGGTGAGGTGTGGGCCACAGAGGGCAGAAGAGAAATAGGTGATATGGAGAAGAACGAGCCCCCAGGTTGGTCCTGGACCCAGCCTCAGCATGTCGGGAGATTTTAAGGATGTGTGTGAAGTGTAGGAAAGAGAAACAAGAGACCAGAAGCTTCACAGAGGCCTTCACTGTGCGTACAGGGGACCATCCTGGATGGCCCATGGCTTTCTTCAGTAGTTCTCTGAGGTAGGCTGCAATGACCACAGGGCTCCCTCACCTTCTGCATGCCAGCTGGATGGCTCTGGACGGTTACACTACACTAAGTCAGTTCAGGGAAGAACAACCATGCCCTCAGGTCACACTATCATCTGGCCAGGCTCACATGCTGCCCCACGCTCTCCTTTGGCACAGAGGGTCCAGGGCACGTAGGGACCAAGTATCTCACGCCCTTTGTCGCCCTATAAAGCCCCAGGATAAGAGTATGACAGACTGCTGCACATCCAGCCCACAGGCCTCCCACTGGCCCCAGACGACTCTGGTCAGTAAGTCCTTCACCAGCCTCTTCTTTAGCGTTTGCATCTTCTTTACCTGGGCACTATCAATCAACCTCCCCAGCTGGGTTGGCCCCGGTCTGCACAAAGGGGAAACAGGCACCAGCTACAGTTCCTTTGGGCAGAGCCAGGATACAAGAGTGGCTTCTTTCTGCACACCCAGCGCATTGGAGGGACAGTGTTGAGCATTGGGCAGGGCTGAGCTAGCAGTCTGTTCAAGTGCCTCCCAGGCCTGGGCTAGCCTTAGGCCTCCTGCCTTCCTCTGGATACTGACTTCAGAGGATCTGCTTCAGGGAAGCTCACGCTTCTCACTTGAATTTGCTCTACTTTGGGGGTTCTTACTCCTTGGTGTTTTTAGAACCCAGGCCCAACTGCAGACCTATTGTGTGACTTTGGGGTTCAATGACCTTCAACTGCCTTAGAAGAGAAAAGGGTTCCTTTCAGCTCTAGCTTTTCAAATCTAAATTCCAGAGCTCAGTCTGAGGTCCTCGTCCTCTGCTCTCTGGGCTCCACCCTCCTACCCAGCGACCATCTGCCCTGATCTCCTCTTGGGGACTCCCAGCCCCCAAGGAAGAGATGTTCATTAACTCTCTAGATAACCTTCATGGCCCTCTGTTCCCTCCTCCTCCCTCATTCTTATCTGGGTTCATAACCCCAAATTCCATCTCTGCTCTATGCCCCCAGCTAGCTTTGATGTCTAGAGTTCACAAAACCCCCTCCTTCCTCCCCCACAAACTGCCCTGAGGTCATATCTTGGTGAAAGTTTGATATCGCCTTTAACTCTTATTTTCCCCAACTGCTCTGTTTAAAATGAGATTTAGAGAGGTTTAAATGTTTGTTGTCACAAAAGGACTGTTGTCAGAGTCCAGATTGGAACCCAAATTTGTTCTCACCTCATCAATATGCCCCATAATGGTGTTTCCCTGGAGTCCGGATTCTCTTTGACTCACTGCCGGTGGCCTGGATGGACTGCTGAGCTGCCAGGGGGACCTCACTCTACACGTTAATTGACCCCTCCAATTCTTGTTATCCTCTGTGCCCAGCCCTGAGCCTAGGCCACATGCTCAGGGGAGGCAGTGTCAAGTGGACGGCCTCAGCTGCGCACAGAGCACATGCCAGAAACTGGAGACTAGTCTGACCCAGCTCAGCCTTCTTGGTTGAGTGACCTTGAAGAAGTTGCTGAGCTGCTCTGAGCCTTGCTTTTCTTGCCCTGTTGAATGGACAGAACCTGATGCGTGGAACCCATAGGTAATAAATAGGCACAAATGCTTCCATGTCTCATAGGCTTCTGACCAGCTGTAATCCTCAGGCTCAGAATATCGCAGGACTTGGACAAAACAACAAATTCATGCTCAAGGGGCGTACAATGTGAAGGCTGCAGTAGTTGGGAGAAGAGGGCGGTGGCAGAAGTTTGTGCCATCTGGGGAGCTTGAGTAAGACTTAGACTGAGGTGTGGCACAGCCACTCTGTGCTCTGGCTGTGTGTGTGGCACCACAAGATCCTTCCTGTTCTGGCCAGCAGCTTCTTTGCCCATGAAATCATGAAGACAATGGAAGCCACCCACCCTTCTATGAAGCAATGAAGTCCTTCTCATCCTGGTCTGACCCCCTTGTTGGGTAACTTTCTATGATTCCATTTTATCCACTCTGCCTTAGTCTCCAGCCCTTGTAAAGTTGGGCCATGGCACTTACATCTTAAAGCAGAAGGTAAGATGGCCACTGCCATGCTTGGTGACCCCTAGAGGCACATGGTAGGAGAGAACAAACTCCCACAAGTTTGACATCTGGCCTTTATGTACTTGATACGGTGCTTACATTTGCGCGTGCATGTACACACACACACACACACACACACACACACACACACACACACACACACGTAAAATTTTAAAAAGAAAACTAAAATAATGAGTTCATGTATCTGAGCTCTCATGACTGTGATGGTTTCCTGTGGTTCTTTCCATGATAAGAATGTAGAACATTCCTAGCCCCAGCTGGGCACCCAGCTTTAGGAAACCAGTTGCTTTTACATGGTGTCAATGGTTGGGTTGGTCAGTGAGTCATCATAGTGCTGACTTGGGGCTTCTGTACCTTTCTCTGTCTTTCAGGACAATGCCACCCTCTTTCTTTCACAACTTCCTCTTGCTAGCAGGTCTGTGCTGTCTGCTCCCTGGCTCCCAGACCGAAGGTCATCAAATGACAGGTAACTCAGGCCATGACAAGAACAAGAAGGGTCCCCAATGCCAGAATTTTGCCATCACCATTACCAACATATCCTTGTCCTTGCTCCAAAAGGCAGTCCATTGGTCTGGACACACCAATATTGTATTCTCCCCAGTGAGCATTTCAGCCGCCTTCACAATGCTCTCCCTGGGAACTAAAGGCAACACTCACAAGCAAATCTTCAATGGGCTGAGGTTCAATCTCTTAAAGATGCCTGAAATGGGGATCCACAGATGCTTCCAGCACCTCCTCCAAAAATGCCTCCAGCCAAACTACCAGATCCAGATGATCACTGGCAGCAGCCTGTTCATTGATAACCGTCTGGAGGTGGCAGACAAGTTCAAAAAGATGATTACAGAGTTGTACCACTCGGAAACCATCCCCACCAACTTCAGGGACATTCAAGAAGCCAAGACACAGATCAACAAACACACGTTGAAGAGAAGCTATGGATACATATCAGAGGTGGTCGAAGACCTGCCGATAGACACAGCTCTTGCCCTGGTGAACTACTTCTCCTTCGAAGGTAAGGTGGGGCTGACACTGAGGAGGGTAACCACGGAGGTCAGAACCCTAGGATTCAAGTTCTTCTCAACAACAAAAGAATGGACAGATGGGCAAGGAAGTAAGCAGGTAAGGGCGTTATTTAGAAGAGGCAGTATTTGACAAAGCAGATAAGCTAGGGAGCAGCCTGATGGGTTCATGAGTGATAATCACCCTGGGACAGTTGGGGTACTGCTCACTATGGGGTCAACATAGAGATGATGATGAGTGTGGTGTGTGTCATGGACATCATTTAACTAGCCCCATGTTTTATGATCATTAAGTCACATCATGAGTTAGATGAGCATGCCTTGGAGCATATCTATTACCAGCTTGAAGTGAGAAGTGGTGAGGTTTTACATTTATTTACTTACTGCTGTGTGTGTAAGTGCACGCCTACATATGACACAGAGCACATGGGGCGGTCCCATCACACACAACCTGTGGGAATCGGGTCTCTCCTACCATCTGGGTGCCAGGGATCAAATTCGCATCATCAGGCTTAAAGGCCCCTGATACTCAATCATCTAATAACCATGATATCTAAAAGAGAAGAAAAAAGAAACAAAACAAAACATTTTACTCTTTAGGATATGATTATCCCTCCTTCGTAAGGAAAGCTAACTGTTCCTTTCTGGTGACAAAAGAATTAATAGCTGCCCAGTGTAACTAACCTGACCCCCTATCCCCAGCTTGGCATCCTGTCTGGGAAGGGGATCCCCCCTACACAGAGTAGGGGGCTGGGGATCAAAGGCAAAATCTTCTCTCCACCATGGCTTCCTCTACCCTGGGCAGAGTCCTGCAGAACAGAGACCCCAGGCCACATCCAGCACAACCGAGGTCCTAGCTCTGCTGTGACAAAGGTGGGCCGTGTCCACACCCCAGCCCTAACACCTGCTCCTTTCCAATGAACTCAATCCTTGGGGCTCTACCTTCTCTGACGGTCTCAGCTTTGGCTCTCACACGACAGCTGAGACCCTATCCTGGCGTTGGCACACATGGCGTTTCCCCTGCATATGGACTAAATGACTGTCGGCGAGGGGCAGGACTCTTTCCGCAGGGAACTTTGACTCAGGAGGCTCCTGTTTTTACTGAGAATCTCCAGACAGGGGCAGAGTTGCATCTCAGTGGTGGAGATGGGGCTAAGTCTATGGGAGATGACGTCATAAGTTCAATTTCTACCACAAACAACAAATCCTCATAAAACTATCAAATATGCTTAATGCCCCAAAGAGCAAAGGGACAGAGGAAATTGCAAATTTTCCACTAAGTAGTCTGATGCAAAAATAGTCTGTATCTTCTACAGCTTTAAGGGGTCCTCACAAAATCCCTTCAGCAGACTTCTGTGACCACACTCACCCCATTTACGCTTGATGAAGCTATGGCTAAGAGGGAAGTGTCACCCAGGGGACCGGGAATTCCTTGCTCTGACACCTAAATTTTGATCCCACCCCTCCCTATATCCCCTTCTCTCTCCCCAGGAATCCAGAATAATAACTACAATGATCAAATTATAAAAGTTGAATTCTACCTGGATACAGGAGAGGTGCTTTATCTGTCTATGATATGCCGCCTGGATAAATTTTACCTGCAAAAGGATAGGCATCTGTTCAGCTGGGTGCTGATGCAGCACTATGTAGAGAATTCCATAGCCTTCTTCATCCTGCCAGACCCGGAGAAGATGCAGCAACTGTTACAGAACCTGAGCCCTGAATATCTCAATACCCTCCAGAGGAACATGAACCAAAGGTGATTCCCTAGTCTGGGGGCCTATTCAAAACTGCCTTGTTCTCTGAGCCATGTCCTGCCTGAGGTCACCCCTCAGGACTAGCCACCAGTTAGGATAGGTGAGCCCAATCCCTGGGCCACCGTTATGAGTCACACCCTGGAACCTCTGGAAAGTAGCGCTGGCCAGGTTGTGTGGACTCACAAAGCTCACTTTGTGAACTCTAAGGTTCTAGTTTGGAAGTTGCCTTCCCATTATGCACACTGTGCCTTCCAAAGGCACACTGCTGGTTCTTGTGACAGTCACTGGAGCCATATGTTAAGACAGAACCAAGAACAGGAAGATGGGCTTTGAGACAAAGACCCCAGTTGGTCCAATTTCCAGGACAGAATGTGCAAGAGGGATGCCAGTCTGAGAATGTCCGTAGAATAACTGTCCCAGCAGCAGCAGACAGCTGCCACCACGACAGACAAGGAGGACAATGCAAGGGAAGGGCTTTAAAGAAAAAGGGGGAAGCTGGGCGGGGGTGGTGCACGCCTTTAATCCCAGCACTCGGGAGGTAGAGGCAGGCGGATCTCTGTGAGTTCGAGGCCAGCCTGGTCTACCAAGGGAGTTCCAGGAAAGGCACAAAGCTATACACAGAGAAACCCTGTCTCAAAAA